GTTGCCCCGGATGGGACGCCCCAGCCGGCAGGAGAGTCTGTCCCAAGGGACAGGTTGGGACAATGGGGTCCCCCCCCAGCCCCACTGCCTTCAGTTGCTGAAACTACAGGTGCTGCCCGCTGTCCCACCACTCACGGGGAAGGAGGGACGGGGGACGCCGAGGCAGACCCTGCCCCACGCTCCCAGACTTGCCTATGCGGAGCATGAAGTTGTTGAAGGACTGGTAGTTGATGTTCATCAGCGTCACCTTCATGGCTAAGGCAAAGTCAGCCAGGTCGGCCAAGTGCTGCCAGCGCTCCTTATCCGAGAGGGTCTCCTTCTGCAAGGGCAGCGTGGGTCAGGCCTGCCCACCCCTTACGCGCTGTCCCCTCGCCATGGCAACCCTCACCTTGGTGCTGTAGCCATTGGCATTGGCATCAGGGGTCACTCCAGAAGCGGCCATGTAGGTGCTGCCGATGGTTTTGATTTTGGTGATGCACCGGAACTGGGGTTCGTCCAGGAGCTGAGCCATGGAGGTGAGACCCTCAGGCACCTCAGGGCCATGGCAGGTTCTTCTGCCCCCAGATGGGGCAGGAAGGGAAGGTCTGGCCAAGCCCCATGCCATCCCTGTGGCCAGTTCCATCCCGACTCACCGCGTCAAAGTCGGAGATGATCTCGTTGAGGAACCGCAGGCACTCGATGCCCCCGTTGTTGATGCTCTCCTCTGTGTAGAAGTCGGCGAAGTTGGGGAGGGAGGCGAACATGACTCCGATCTCATCGTAGGACTGGCTGTACAGCTCCTGGGGTGGGGATGGGACAGTGGCCGTGAGCCAGGGACATGCCCATGCATGACACCAGTACCTCCAGCAAGCCCAAACCCTCCTGTGAAGCCATCTTCCCTTGGCATGTGAAAAAAATGAGGGTGCTCTGCAACCTCACCTTGCACGGCCAAGACGTCATCTTCATCCAACCAAAGATGCTCAGCCAGAGCCTATGGCAAAGCCTCCAGATCTGGAGTATGCCCCCCCGCCCCACCTCAGAATGGGGGCAAATACCCTCTCCTGGGTATTCACTCACCTCATCCCGCTTCTTGGAGCCCAGGAAGTGCCGGGCCACGTGCTCGGGCAGCATGTTGGTGACGAGGGCCTCGTTCCAGCGCCGCATCTCATAGACCCGCTCCTTCTGGTCATGGACGTCGATCTTCCAGAGGAAGAGGGTCCTGGCCAGCTTTTCCACCTGTGGGTGGGGGGATACATCTGCACCCCCAGTTCCCACCCACCAGTGGGTCCTCTCTGGGAAGATCTCCTCCCTCTCTTGGAGTATCCTGACCTCTGACTGGTCTGGGCTTGGGGACAGCCTGGAAGAAGTTTCTGGGACAAGGTGAAGCCCTAACTGGGGACGTGAAACCTGCTCCGAGGTGCAAATGGGACCCTAGAGGGGCAGTCACGGGCCTTGGGGCCACCATGTTGCTGCCCGCCCCTAACCACAGGGCGAGGCAGAGGTGTTCTCTGCACTGATGTGGTCCTGGAGAGCCCTTGGGTGGGCTTCCTTGGAGAAGAGCTGAAGATGCTGTTCACAGCTGGGGACAAACCCTGCTGCCTTGGAGCTTGCAAGTAATAAGAAGGAAGGGCAGAGGCTGAGGGTGAAGAGGTGGAGGGGAGCTTCCCTGGGGTGGGGGGTCGAGTCACTCACGTGGCGAGAGAAGTAGTAGAAGCTGAGCATCACAATGAAGATCATCGCCGTCATGGAGTACTTGGAGGGGACCAGCGAGGACCTGCCAGCAAAGACAGCAAGGCATGGATGGGCGGTGGGCACGGCCATACTCCCCAACTCACGCCCCCCAACCCATGCCCACCACCCTGCCACCCCTTACGTGCTTTGCTGACCGCGACGGCGGTCGTACTGGTCAAAGATGTGCTCCCAGGCGTAGATGTTGACGGCGCCAGTAGCCCCGGTGATCAGCACCATGAGGGTCAGCTTGACCATGTGGCTGACCTGCACCAGCATGATGGTGGCCACCAAGGCCAGCAGGGCGATGTAGCTGTAGTACTTGGGCTGCTCCGCACAGCCGCCCGGCTGCGGTGGCCCCACTGTCCCGTTGCCTGTTCCGCCATGATCCTGCCAGCAGCTGAGCTGGGGGCACGAGGGCAAGGTGAGGAGGGGGACGTGGAGACAGGGTGCACTTCTCCATGGGCTGCATGGCCACCCAAAGGGACAGGGTGCTTTGCAGAGCAGGAGGACAACCCAACCTACATTTCCCCTCTGCAGTGCAGCCCTGCTAATTGATTTAACGATCGCCCTGCAGGGGATTGTGCACAATTATGGGCTGCATGGATGGAGGCTGGAGCAGGCTCAGCCCCGTTGGCACCCGAGCTGGTGGCTCACCATGCCCACAATGTCAGCCATGGTGACGATGACGATGGCGGCCATGGCCCAGGTGTTGCGCGCCCAGCGGGTCCTGTCGATCCAGGTGGAGAAGGCCACGAGCTTTTTGGGGAAGACCTGCGGGCAGAGGATGGTGGGGAGGGGTTCACCCCGGCTCCAGGCCGGGCACAGTGGTGGGATGTCACGGTGTCCCATCACCATGAGTGGTGAGCCCATCCTGCTCTTACCCGGGGGAAGATGGCAGCCAACGAGCAGAGGGTGAGGATAAGCAGCAGGATCTCCCCCACCACGAAGGTCACGTAGTTGGCCACTAACCTGCCAAAAGGCCAAGAGGGGATGAGTTTGAAGCCTGGCAGGGCTGAGTGCGGCTTGGGGTTACTCATCCCCACCACCTCCCTGCAAAAAACCACCAAGGCGGTGAAGAAGAGGACAACGCAGGAGCAGCTGAAGGCGGCCCCGCTCTGCTTCTCCTTCTCCACTGAGTAGCGAGTCTCCATTTCAGGGTCGATGAAGCGCATGGAGAGGCGGAAGGTGCTCTTCCCCTTCAGCCTGCCGGCGACACTGCCCGTCAGCGCCC